TGATGCAAATCACTTAGGGTCTTTAGAACTTTGGAGTGCAGTTGACTTTGAAATATGTTTAATGCTACTTCTTGCAAAGCAAAATTTGCAACTATCAAGTTTTTGCAACTATCTGGGGATTTTGTGTTTCCTTTGCTTTAGTATTTATGAATTCCTAACTCACTGGACTCTTTTTCATTCCTTTCAGGTAAACATGTTACCAGAAATACAGCATCGGCTTTGCAGAAAGGAAGGATTATGTCAAATAATTAGAAGATTTCCAGGTAATCTTCAGTTTGCTTCCTTGTGCTTAAACATCTGAGATATACAGGCTTCCTTGGCAGACACCAACTAATGAGGTCTCAAATCAGCATCTTTAGTTCCTTTGTTTATGAATTTCACTACTACAAATCTTTCATAGTCCACAAAGCTTTGCCAGTGGGAAGACCCTGATAATAAGGAATACAAGAATAACATTGATATGCGTTTAGTTTTGCCTTCTGCTTTGCTAGATGAGTATTTCTTTTTTCTCCTTTATGTTTTTCTTTAAATTAATTGCTTCTTTATTTTAAAGGTAATTATTATAGTAGTGCTTAATTATATAAAACTAAGTTTTAAAAAAATTCTATTTCTTCATAATTAAGTTATTCTGATCCTAACAAATGTGTTTCTCCTTTCTGGAATTCTCTCACTTTGTCTGTGTTTAAGACAGGATACTGAATGAATAGATTCTGTGTCTTGACTATATGAGGAATTTGGGACAAAAATTATTATTTCCAGTTTCTTCATAGGTTCCCAGAGTGAAAAAAAATCAGAAGGTATTAATATTAACATATTGAACCCTCATAGATGAAATTACAGCCTACTTTAAAACCCATCAGTGAAAAGTTTCCTCAAATTTCTTGTTTAAACCCATTTAACATTTAATAGTTTAAGCCCCCAGAAAGTGTTTCACTACATAATTAAAATTTATATCTGCATAGCTTTAATATTGTTTTTTTATTAATTTGTGTCCTAATGGAATCAGAAAACTGCTGACATATCTTAACCTATCAGCTTTTCCATTGGAGTTTCTGCTTCCACACCAAACATAAACCACAGTGGCATGTCCCTCTGTAAAGATTACAGTCTTCTACTGTCATTTACCAGGAATTAAAATAACATATAATAAAAACGGATCAGCAATTCAACTTTCAATGCAAGATACATGTCTAAAATAACTGCATAAATTTGGT